GCCCCCCCCCGCTTCTTTGAAGCAGTTTCTTACTTGGATGGTGGAACAGCGAGAGAGCGAAGCCTCCTTCTCTTCTCTTCCCCCCCCCCCTCCTTGCAAAAATTTTCTGCTTGAAACCGGTCCCTGGTACAAAAAAGGTTGGGGACCACTGATTTACCTTATAAGTGGTAATAATATTAATAAAAAAAAAGTTCTGAGCTACCCTTATTTTGCTTCAAAGTTTTTATTTAGAAATTTAATTTTTTTTCCTGAAATTTCCCTCTTAAAATGAAGATGCGTGTTATACGCCTGTGCGTGTTATACGCCGATAAATACGGTAACTTGGACCCAGGTGTCTCTCTCTTCATGGACTTCAATTATATTCATGCTCATCTTACATATCATTACTTATTTTATTTACCATTCTAAGCCTTCTATATTAACTTCTCCACATATTTCACCCTTCTTAATTCTATCTTAATTAATCATCTTAGTTTGAATCATTATATTTGTATCTTTTGTCCATTTTTTATCATCCCTTTGTCTCATTCCTTATAAATAAGAAGAAAATAAGTTTCTCCTGAAATCATTAATCAGAGTATGATGCCTTTCTATCTCCCCCCTAAGTTAGTCAAATTAATCTTTAAAATAATATCCAATACCCAATCCGATTTTGCTTGGTACATTCTATACAACTCTTTTTTCTATTGCAGATGAGTTAGGGTCCAAACTTAACTTTTGCAGCAACTACAAGGGATTAAGAAATTACGACATGCAATTCAAAACGTTACAAATACTTCTCTACATAAGAGATAATTATTTGCTATGACTATTATTGGAATAATGAATAAATATATATTAAGAATAACTAAGATATTCCTCCAACTGACATTAACTGAAGTGAAAGTATTTAAATCAATCAATTAAATATTTAACAACTAATTATAATTCCATCCTGCCTAAGATTCAATTATCAAAATAACTTCACTAAATTTAGTGAATGTTGAATTCAAAAAGACTAAGTTGTTGCTAAAAATGTGAAAGCTACAATTTAAAATTATGAAAAAGAAAATCAATTGTACGGTTATAAACTTACTCTAAATAGTAGAATGCTATTATTTTAGAAGAAAGACCAAGGAACACATAAGACAAATTCCAAAATAGTAACAGTTTGCTGGTTTACAGCATAAACAGCTTTTTACCTTTCATAAGGAATTTTCTTCAACCCACTCTCTCTTACGTAATCCACCAATTGTTTTTGTGTTCGTCCACTGTAATACAATAAGTATAAATATTTTAAAAATCTCATGAGAACCATATTTAAATGTGTGCTTTTAATTTCTGTATTAATAAGATTGTAAACTTTTAGGATAAAAAAAGAAAAAAAAAGCTTTTTTGAATGCCTTTTTTACCTGTATCTGAAAGATGATCCTCTGCTGAAGAAGACTGGTTTGGGTTTGGGCTTGGGTTGATCAGATAATCTAAAGAATGTATGATACTCAACACATATCTTCCAGAGATTCTTGCACTCATCTCTACCTCCCAAAAGAAATTCTAAAGTATCCTGATATGGGCCCTAGAATTACAAAATAAACAAAGCTCAAGCAGTCAGAGTTAATGACACTCTATGTAGTTTAATACAGATTTAAACTACACAGAGTAGCCATTAATTTATCATCATTAGTTCTTGCTTGAAATAAGCTAATGCATAGTCATTTCTCTAATTTAATACTGTGGTAATTTGGATGGGAAATAGAAACTGTTTGAACTGCACAAAGTGTTTGAACAAGAAAAGGAAGACAAAATTCATCTGGGGACAATTATTCATCAATATGAACAAATACCAGCAGGAGTAAAATAAAAGTTGTTACTAGAGGTTACTAGTCACAGCATTTTTAGGATACTATTACTTCTTCATTGATACATGAAACTCTGTAAAAGGGTTAACCATACAATTTAGTATGGAAGATCCCTAAGCCTGAGAAGTTCCAATAAGGATGAAACCAGTGTCTCCTATTGCTAATGCAGTATAATGTGGATAATCATTTTTATTTGCCCCCAAACCTCTATACATTTGTGTTAGGCATTTATAGTACAATGCCAGCTTTGGGGGGAAAAAGACATGCTCAGTTTTTAGGTGTGTTTCAGAGGCAATAATTTACAGTGTTTCAGTTGACAAAGCTAATAGCTATTCAGCATCAGTTGGACAGACAATCTTTGAAATACTATAATGTTCTTCCAAGTGCCAATAATATAACTATAGGTCAAATGTTCACTACTTCAATCACACTGCTCTATCACTGAGCAACATTTTTCCATGTAGATGAATAATTGCCACATGAACTAAAAATATCCTTTGACGAAAACTACAAGAAAATCTGATATCAAATTAGGTACAACCACTAAAAACAGATAATATCCTTGCACAAGAGGTGAATGCTCAGAACAGATATAAAATTCCTCAATTATTTTCTCAGGTACAGTAACTTCATTTTCTTTTGCATTAGATCTGATTTTGTATTTGTTTTGCTGGTATTCAGGAGGAAATAGAGCTAACATATGATGAAATAGGAAGGTTTTTGGATGGGAAATTTTGCAGAACATTTTGCAGAACATTAGAAGGGGAGAGTGTTGCTGACATGACTGGTTTTAGAGTATTAGCAATGTACAAAAGAAAGATTGTGTTCTCAAATTATAAGTGGAACCCATCTTTGTCTAATCAAATAACATCACTGAACATAATGTCACAGAAATAACAGGTTCATTTGATGGTCTGCATGCACGTCAGCTCATATTTAATCTCAACATAAAATTATAGAAAAGATATTATGATAGTACTTACATGAACTTCTGGATGAAGCTTGATAAGAAATCGTTTTCTCTTGAAGCTTATTTTTCGGATTTTGGACCAGTTGAAAGTATTGATTTTTATATTGCCCTGTGTTAAATGCAATATGTAACAAGTGAAGAAATATACATAATACAGGATTTAAACACATTTCTCAGCATCCCGCTTTGAGGGAGATGGGTGGTTCAAAAATGTGAAATGTACATTAAATATACAAATAAAATAAAATATACATAGAACAGGATTAAACAACATGTATAAACATATGCAATCAGATTAATTTCTTTAGCTACAACTGTCTAAATAAATATTTACTATTGTCTCCTGAATACCAAGAACAAGATTCTACAGGACTTTGGTAAAAAGAGACTTCAGGCAGAGATAAGGGTCAAATGCTATAGGTTATTGTGAACCCTCTTGAATCGGTCCATTTTAATTATACTAGTCAGCATGTCATAATCAGGTTTTTAAAAAATATGCTTCCTTTTTAAAAGATGTCATAATTACTAGCACAGGCCCAAGTGCTACTTCAGCTTGAAACCATCAGCATTGGCAATATGGGGAAATGAATTGTATGGATTCCAAATGAAGAGTTCTCTGCAAGGAATATGATTAATTATTTGTATTTATTTAGCCAAAACAAAGTTTAATCTGCCTCAGGATGTTAGAAAAAATTGTAAAAATGAATTCTAGAATTTATCAGAAAGGATGCCAAGCTCTTGATCCTAAAGATTAAACTTAGAATATTTAAAAATATATGCTTAAAATTACTTTCTTACCTGGAAAACCAATACACCCATGTTCGAAACAGCCAAATTGATTTTTGTCCCTTCACGATCAGATGCCAAGTGAAATCTCATGCCATACATTTCTAATTTCCGACCTATTTCAAGCACCTGGAAGTCTGATTCAGCAGGAGTTTCACCCCTTAAGTAATAAAAATAAAATAAAAAATACAGAAGTGATTAATGAATTTATGACATTCTGAATATGTATGGAGTGATTTAAGGCAACCAAATGGAAATCCACCTTCCTTGCACGCAGCCACAGCATATAAAAATAACTTGAAAATGATGTTCTTTATTAACTAATTTTATTTAGTATCTGGATTTCAATCAACTTACAACCAGTTGGTAAACAATTGACTGAGACTAATAAATACTCACACAATTGAATAATTCATACTATTCATGAGTGGAACAACTTTAGTTTTTTAGGACCATGATCAATGATATTAAAATTTGCTGAAAGATCAAGCAGTGAAACATACTACTTTCTCTTGATATACTCTTACAAAATGTCATCTGTTAGTGATAAAAAAGGATTCTGCCTTAAAACTAGGCCTGAACTCTGATTGAAAACAATCAAGGTAATTGCAATCCTCCCAGAACAACTCAACTCTGCCTCTTAAAAAGATGTTAAGTGGATGGCCCAGGTCTATTCAGGATAAATTTTTTGCAAAGAATCAAAAGAGACCATCAATTCAAACTTTGCACTCAGTGGAAAAGATAGTCTATACCCTAAAAAAGGGACCCTAACTAGAAAGCATGTAAATGTTACTCAATTGCAGGCTTCCAGTCTGCACAAGCACAAGGAATTTGCACTTTTTCTTATTTTTAATATGGGGTCTTTGGTGATCTTGGAGCTTGGTTATTGTCTTGCTGACATTTCATTACCCAGCTAGGTAACATCACCAGTGCCAGAAGTGAGTGGGGTTTACTCTCTATTTATATATATGTTGCTTGTGAGTGTTAATAGAAGTGTTCTTGGTCATTCTTTGATTAGGCTGTTGTTTACTGTTCGTCTGAGTTGATACCCTTGATTGGGGTATTATTAATTTTGGTGTTTATTTCTGCTTATAGCAAGGAGGTTTTTCGGTCTTTTTAAAAAATAATTTTACTTACATATGCTTTCTGTGAAATGCAAGTATTTTTTCTTGCAGTCTTTCCTGGTTTGGAAAGTATTGGTTGTTTTTAAGATGTTCGTGATCTCCTGATTCATCAAAATCCCCAATTTCCGCTGTGACAGAACAGAAAATATATTAAAAACAAAATACTTCAGTATTTCAGATTATAAGTATTTCAAACTCTTAGCAAATTATTATTTGATAGTATTTTACAAAAATTATTAATTTATAGATTAGCTCTTAATGCGCTGGCTTTTCTGGAAAAAATAAAAGTGTAATTTTTACAAATTTCATCCTAAAAATTGATTATTTGCTTTCTGACAATATTTTTATAGGCTAATGCTAAAGATGTGATTCTGATAAGTTTAAGTGTTTATATAGGCAGTTTATCATTTTTCTTTTACTTCAACTGTTATTTAAATTGCAAGGTGGAAGATATGCAAATTCAGCTGAATTTTCTAGCTACACTCATTTATCATAGAAGAAACCAGAAAGGAGAAAATCCTTGACTTAATCTTCAGTGATATTCAGAATCTAATACTGTATGTATCATAAATGCTGCTATGCTGGAACTACAGGATTGCTGGATTTAAGGCAAATGGTTACATTGTCAAAAGGGTTCAGACACAATTGTATAAATATAAATATCACTAAAGTTTATGGAAAGGGAATGGATGCCTCATTGTTTATGGCTGATACAGACACAATTTATACAACAGTAAATTTTATATAGTTGAACTCCTACAATCTTTTGTCCAAAAATAAGTCCATTGAGTCAAGACAGTATAATCAAATGTCAAAGCTATATTATAAGTGAAAACACACACACACACACACACACACACACACACACACACATGTCATTTAACAAAAGAAACAAAGTGCCAATCAAATCAACACACAGCAAACACCATATTAGCTGAAACCCTCAGTTAGATCACAATAGATTTTTCTGTATGTAAAAGGAAATTAAATATATTAAATATCTGAATTCAGGGACTCTTCCATGAATAAAATAACCTTTATTTGAATAGAGCAGCAAATATTGGTGCTATAGATTTGCTATATTTAAGAAATACAAAATATACCAAAAGTCAAGTCTCCTAAACAATTTATTATCTAAATTACTTTTAAATGTTTGAAATAGTTACCACTTTCTTCTTAATAATTTCTTACTCATTTCATGTATTATTTTGAACACTAAGTTAAGATTTATACATATATGCATACATACTCTGAAAAAATAGTAAAACATATTGTGACTGGCCTATGGGCACTGATCTTTGGTATACCCTGTATATTATTTTGTATTCAAGCACTGATTAAACCAAAACTTGCTTCAGTTGACCAAGTTTGCTGAATCACACACCATTCGATGCTACTGATGTAATTCCAAATTCTTCATATGTCAATATTTCTCAAGCATGAAGCTGATGCATTCTTATCTATAAAAGAACATTACATACTAACATTGTAGAAGATGAGATACAAGGAGTGCTGCTGTATTGTCATTACAGGTAAGGCGTTCCTCTGCCAGATCTCTCTTCATTTGCAGTGCAAACAGATATCTAAAAGGAAAGAATTAGTAACATGTTTGGTCATTTGAACCACAGAATATTACATATTCTGGAAAGAAGGACATAATATGGCAATAGCCATAGCACAAGCAGAAGATGAATAAGAGTGTGAAGATTGCAACAAGCCTGTGAGCAGCTGCTTACTTTTACCCTATGCCTCTAACTGATGTATAAGAATTACAGAGTTCCACTTGCTTACTTCTACATAGTCTTAGTGACCATTACTTACCATTCTATTAGGCAGATTTGGAAAATTTTAATATCAATTTTAACAAGAGTGCAAAATTTGGTATGAATATATTTTATAAGCAACATATTCAAGTGATGATTATTTCAATATATGCATCAAGGATATAAAGACCTGAGTAACAAGACTGCTGATCAAATTTGTGGAGGACACAAGATTGCACACAACAGAAGATTAGAAGATCTAGAAGATCCTCATGGTCATTTCCAACTCCAGAATTCTATGGATAATCTACAGATACTGTTAAAACTATAATTCCAATTTTCATTGATGAAGGATGTGAATCTGATTTTGAATTATACACCAATATATCACTATACTAACATATATTAATTTACCAAGCTTAGCCTGTAGCAAAAAATATACAAGGGAAAGTTGCAGAAGTAATATAAAAAACAGATCAATACTATTTCGTATGTCCAGTTTAAATAAATCTGCCATGAGTTTTCATTCTAAAGGTATTTTATTTTATCTCCCGGCTTAAAAAATTATTATACAAATTATCTTCAGCATTAATTATAAGTATTGTTTCTCAATATTTGAGTTAGGTTTTCTTTTTTCTTGTTCTTTTCAACAAATGGTTGAGGGAGATTGTTTGCTTGGAGTTCTTAAAACATAATTTTCCATTTTCTTCCTTCTCCGTTTTTTATCTTGGTTATTAATTACATAGTTATATTATATTATGTATATTATACTATAAATATCATATATGCCTTTTAAACTCTATTATTTTGCACTTTGTTTTAATTATGTCCCTTTTATATGATTTATGATTTGTATCTATAAACTACCCAGAATCACTTGGATAGTAAAATGGGTGATATCTAATTTGATTGCTAAATAAATAAAGTTCCATTGCATGTATATGAATATTTATTAATTTTATATAATAAAACGACTAATAAAAGCTAAACTTTCTCTCTTTTTTATGAAATATAGAAAGGCTTTACCTAGTGTACTCCTCTTGCAATTGGCCAGGATCTGGAGGAAAGAATTTTACAGCTAGACGAAGCACAGTGTTCTTTGGTCCTACAGAAAGCCAATAGATCATTAAAATATGACAGTCAACTCACAAATCTTATTCTTTTATTGTAATTGCATGTTTGATATCCTTAATTGTTATAAATTTTACAACTAATCATGGATTATGGCTTTATCAATGGATTGCCACTGACCTACAGACTACTGTTCTTATGCTATTTCTCAAAGTTTGGGAGGGTTCCCAAATGAATAACAGTACATTCACTAGTATGTTACACCTCATAAACATACATGAGGTATTACACACAAAATACCAAATTAAATTTATTGGAGGAAGAAGGCAGGATCAAATAGTTTATTTTAATTCAAAACTCAATAAATGTCTTAGTCAGTTTTAACACTATAATCTTCCCAAAATACCTTTAAAAATTAAAACAATTTCATGATAAAGCCAGAATTTTGGACACAAGAACAAATAATGAAACCTATCAATTGAAAGACAATCATGCCTTAAAATCTATTTGAAATCGTCTTTAAATCAACGGATGCATCCTTCTGGAAGAAAGTTCCACAGAACAAAGATTACCCTTAAAAAGAAATTTAATTTCCACAGAACAAAGATTACCCTTAAAAAGAAATTTAATTTCATACACAAGTCAATCACAAAGAGCAATCAGTACAAAGATCTAATTTTTTTAACAGGAAGATTGTCCACTGAACTCTAGACTTTGAAATAAGCAGTGAATATCTAACTTGTGACAAAACTGTCTGAGAGTATGTGGGAAGCTACAGGATTTATTAATCAGAAGATGTACAAAGTGCAGATTCCTTTACTTATTGATGTTCCCTTCTTAAGTCAAGCTTTCCTGGAACTGTGCAACTGATATGCAAGCCCACACTAAGGCATGGCTTTAAAAAAAATATTCCAGAAGCCTGTCCATAAGTCTTCTGAACCTGCTTTAATTAGCTATATATCATTAGTGCACATTGCTCTTATAGCTAAAAGTATTTAAATTTACTGTTTTCTTGCTCTGTTCACAAATTGACTCTTTTTACAATGCCTGATGGCCTTGTAGTCAAGTAATTGTTGCCCATTTGTATAACTGCTATTGCTATCCTGAAAACCTTGGGCTCTATATCAAACCTCTCATTTGAAATTATGTGGAATTTCTACTTACTGGGGATAATTAAAAAAACAATATTAGAAAAAGATAAACTATATAATACTACACATACTGACAGCGGCCAGAATAGCTTATGCACAAATGAGGAAAGAGCGTAAGGTCCCAACAGAAGAATTAATTTAACAAAAAATAGCAGACTGTGCAGAAATGGATATGCTCACACTAAAAATAAGGGAAAAAGAAGAATCTATTACTCAGTTTGGCACAGATGGTACTTATGGCCAGAAAAGAGAAATAAGAATGGATAAAGACGATTGTATAGAAGAAACCTCAAGAAAGTAATACATAGATAGGTAGAAAGATAAAATAGATAAAGATAGATAATAAATAAGAATTATAAATAAAGACAAAAACTACTTAAAGTATGTACGAATACATGATGGAAATATGGACTAATACCGAATGTTGATGTAAATACTATTGAAAATGTAATTAAGATGTGTACTGGTGGAAAACAATAAAAATTGTTTGGAAAAAAAGAAAGTATGTGGAATTTCACAAATATTTTCTTATTGATTATAACTTACATGAAAACAAAATAATTTCTCTAAAAATGACAAAAAAGCATAAGAAAACATTCATAAATCAACTATTCACTGTTACTTCATCACAGACTATAACATTAAGAATCTGATAGTAAGAATTTCTATCCAGTTAAAAGAATATATGTAGGATTTAGAACCAATGTTATTGGGAAATTGAGGGCCTCTCTTTTAGACAACTTACAACAACTGTTATTGCTTATTTTTCTCTACCTTTCAGTCATGTTGACTCCTGCTAACTGCCCAGAAAAGTCCCTGCAGTTTTCTTGGTAAAAAATTTTCAGAAGTGGTTTCCCATTGCCTGCTTCCTAGGGCCAAGAGAAGTTAATTGGCCTAAGGTCCCCCAGCTAACTTCATACCTAAGTCAGGACCTAGAACTTATAGTTTTTAGTCCAGTGCCTTAATCACAACATCAAACAGGTTTGCTCTTAGTATATCTCACAATAAATCTAATAGTAGAGAATATAGAGCCCTTAGGGTTGAGTTGTTAGATTCTTGATGTTCACTGAGCTTGGTTGTTTTGTTGCAAACATTACATTATTAGAATAACAAACAAACAAAAAGAGGATTTTGAGGCTTGTTAAAAGGACAAGTTCTGCCTTCTACCACCTGCAAAAAATAGATACTGGTCTGTAAAGAATGAAAATATAATAAAATAATCAGCATTTGTATTACTGAATTTGTTAAATTATTTTCATTATAACAATTTAAAGAATAGTATAATTGACTGAATTTATGCTAATCACTGCTTTAAAATAACTTTAGCCTTTGGGAATGGGGGTAACAATATGTTTCTAAAATATACATTCTAGAATACGAGCAGCATCATTTTTTAAAAGTGTTGTTTCAGCTAAATTCTGGAAAGAAAAATTGATTTATAAATATGTACACTTACTTCTTACTTGTTTTACAATAGGTTTCATAGGCTCCAACCAAATCTGAATAAAAAAATAGACAAATAAATGGGCAAACATTATCATACAACTAAATCAATTTTAACAATTGTAAAATGTATCTGCTTGCATCTCTCACTTAAAAACTAATTTAGCTAAACTAAATCTGGTAAATAAAAACATGTTAACATACTTTTCAGAAATATAGTGAAAAAGATGGGATAAGGAATTGCAACATATTCTAATTAAAGGAGAACACTCTTGGAATAAATCTCAGGAAAAAATCTGTCCATATGAATACTTTGGAGTTTGATCCAATTAGCAACAGCATACTGAATGTTATATTGTTTACTTGTAAAACTGAATCTATTAGTTCATTCCATGAAGCAAAACTTTATATGCTTGCTTATCGTGTTATGTGAACCAAGATCATGATTATCTCAAAACAAGTTGAACAAATAAATGAAATACAAAACAACACAGTAGCTATATTTTTGTAGATATGTACTCATGGACTTCTTGGTGAGTTTATATGCCTGTTGAGGATTTGTGGAATTTACATAGACTTTTGGTCATTGCACAACATTTCTGATTTGTTAGAAGGTAATCAATAATTACATTAATGAAAAACTTTTGCTTACATTTTCCTTTCAAACTTTTTAAAGTCAACAAACAAAATTAAAGAATGAAAACAATATAAAGACGTGCTACATACCCAATAAGATTGCAAGTTTTGGAATTCAATTCCAAAATAGTCAGATTCAACCAAATTCAGACGATCAAATATCTCTGTCAGTAGTTTCTGGCCACAACATTTTGACTGGAAAAATACAAATTTATGATTAATTTTTATAACCAAGGTGTATTAAACGTTGAAAAATGCTAATGTTAATTTCAAATGTTTGTATTAAAAAAACCAAAGTTTTAAACTATTCAAATCAAGAAAAATATTGCTATATGTGTATACAGCAATACAATGTGTAAGTTTTTTTATACTATTATAATTTTCATGCGGCATAAATTCCAACAAAATTCTAAAGCACTTTATTTTCTTTCAATTTCTGGTTTGAAGAAATCATCTAACACAAACATAACCAAAGCTACTTTAAATTAAACTTTAGGTTTTAAGTTAGACTGGAAGGAAATTAAGATTATATAACAATGATACACAGAAGCATGAACTTTCTTATAATCTGACAGCAGCTAGATGATATTGAGGTATAACTCTTAGCATCTTTTATTTGCCATTGTTCATAAAGGGGGAGGGACTTGTACTGATGTTGAACTGGATCTTGGAATATTCTAATAGCATTCAAGACAAGAAATCAACAATTAAAAACAACTGTCTCTGAGCAGTTAATAAACTTATAGGTAAACATAAAACAAAATTTATCAACTCAGTTATCATTAGCAAAAAATGCCCAAATGAGAAGTTATCCCCCAGGATTGTCACATTTGTCTGATTGTCTTCCCAACTGCATTTGGTTTCCAAAAATATTACAGTGCATGCTTGATTTACAGCAGTTTGTTTAGTGACTGTTCAAAGTTACAACGGCATTGAAAAAAAGTGACTTATGACCATTTTTCACACGACCTTTGTAGATCCTTATGGTCACATGATCAAAATTCAGTTGCTTAGCAACTCATATTAATGATGATAACAGTGTCCTAAACTCATGTGATCATTTTTGCTACCTTCTGACAAACAAAGTCAATTGGAAAGTCAAATTCACTTAACAACTGTGTTACTGTGTTGACAACTGCAATAATTCATTTAACAATTGTGCCAAGAAAGGTCATAAAATGGGGCAAAACTCATTTAACAAATGACTTGTTTAGCAACAGAAATTCTAGGCTCAATTGTGGTCATAAGTCAAGGATTATCTGTATTAAAAGCTGCCAGAAACCTTGCATCCTTTAAAAATTCCCAAACTTCAAAATGTCTGATAGATTTCTCCCTATTTAGAGTAAAATTAAGTGATAAAATTTCAGCTCTGCTCACAAAAGCAAAACATGGCAGCTAATACGATTAACACAAGCTACTCCATCTTTAGTGAGTAAATTAGGAATTAAGCTCACAACCTAGGACTGAAAAACTGATTTTAGAAAGAACTCAAAAACATATAACATGTGTTAACATGTTTTATTTTTATCATTTTGTATCCCATTTTATTGTTGTAAGTTGCTTACAGTAGCGCCACGTCGAGATAGACAGCAAATAAATTTAACAAACAAATAAGTAACAAATAATATAAAACCAAGAAAGTTCTGGCATATGTTCACAGCTCCTGGAATGAGGAAGTCTTACTACCATACACATTGTTATCAGCTGAAACTTCTTGAACTATCTTCAAGAGCTTTTCCGAAGAAATTCTCTGAAATTATCCAGGGTTACCCTGGATAAATCACTTTATCCAGGGTAACCCCATGACACTAAATTATAGTTGTACAGCTAGTCCTCAACTTGCAACCACAATTGAGCCCAAAATGTCCACTGCTAAGCATGCAGTTGAATGACCTTTGTCCAATTTTATGAACTTTTAAGCCACAGATTAGTTAATCACTGTAGCTGTTAAATTAGTAATAGGATTGTTAAGTGACAACTTTGCTTATTAGAAGGTCGCAAAAGGTGATGACATGACCCTGGGACCCCGCAGCAGCCATCATAAATACATGCCAGTCGCCAAGCATCCAAATTTTGATCACATGACTATGGCATGATGTTACAGTTGTCGTAAGAGTGAAGACAGTCATAAGTTACTTTTTTCAGTGTTGTTGTAACTTCGAACGGTCACAAATGAATAGTAATGAATTTAGGACTACCTGTAAATTATAAGTGTTACTAATAAATATCCCTTGATTATGATATTAACTCTATAGTATTTATATATTATTCATTTGGAAACATCCTGTAGTGAGGTCGTCCTCAGATTCTAAATATATGGAATTTATTAGTGCATTCAGGCACTCATCCAAACTCCATCTCAATATCATTTGAATTAGAAAAGAGAATTATATATCGTGTACAAATTAATAATATCATAAAACAAAAATTGCAAATGTCCACTATTAAAACGTATGGAAAAAATAATGAAAATCTGTGGGAATCTAAATAGTATGCAGCGGAAATTACAGGGTCCTAGTTTTTGGAACAAACTATAAGGCCTTCAATTCAAAAAGCTACCTAGGAAGAATCAATGAGCTATCCATCAATCTTTCCTCATCTTTGAATCAGAAATGAAATAGATTTTTCAAATCAATCACTTCCAAGATAAGGTGATTCAGCATTTTATGAATAAATATGATGGGTAAGTTATATATTTATGTGCTTTCCCAATAATACACTTGGTAACTGTTCCATTTGACACATTCAACAAAAGAAACTCCTGGCTCTTGAAATTAACTAAAAGTGTAGCTGTATTGAAAAATCCATCTAGGCATGGCAGAAGCAAAGTCAGTTCTGGGATTTTCCTGCAAAAACCCATATAGGTAATTACCCTTTTCCTCTCCGGGCTACCCACAGTTCATAGTTCACCCATTAAGTTCAGTTCTTTTGCTTTGGAAAAAGCTGCCTGCTTTGTTCAAAATATTCTTTATCGCTTGGCCTTGTTAGATAATGTCTCTCCGACAACAGACGGTTCACCTGCATTCCACAGAGTTCTTCCACACTTCTGAATTCACCACCCTCCTTCATCACTGTTTGTCAAAGCTGCAAGTGAAAGCAGGTACAGGCAACTACCGGTATGGAGTCGAGTCAGGTTGACACTATTACCATAACGTTCAAGATTTATGCATGGAACTAAAATTTTTAAAGAGCTTCCTACAACATTTATTTGTACAATTTAGAAGCAGACTCAACTTCATAAAGATTTTGGATGCTGTAGTACATTAAAACTAGAAGAAAGCAAGCAAGCAAAAAAAGCAAGCAAGTAAGCAAGAAGCCATTACTTTTACACACACACACCATCACTTTTACATACACCCACACACACACACACTCTGTGTGTGTGTGTGTGTGTGTGTGTGTGTAAAAGTAATGGCTTCTTGCTTACTTGCTTGCTTTTTATTGATAGTCTGGTCTTCACACACACACACACACACACACACACACACCCCATCACTTTTACATATACCCCCACACACACACTGTTTGTGTGTGTGTGTGTGTGTGTGTGTGAAGACCAGACTATCAATAAGACATTAACCATAGAACTATAGCTATTAGGAATCACAGTTTTCCCATAGCCAACAGGATGACCACTGCTGCAATTATTTATGTTTTCAATCTTTCAAGAATAGGTCCAATTTCTTAAAAATAAAATGGATCCTCAAAACTCTTATATTTATGAAGCAAAGAATTAATTCCAAATTAGCCATGAATTTTTGCTTGAGTTTTTTGTTGCGTATTGTGCTTTTGAGTCAGTATTGACCCCTGGGAATGACATGGACATGTCCATGCAGTTTTCTTGGCAACATTTTCAGAAATAATTTGTCAGTGCCTTCTTCCTAGGACTGAGAAATATGACTGGCCCACCCAGCTGACTTCATGCCTAAGGTAGGACTAATATTTACAGTCTCTCAATTTTTAGCCCAGTGTCTTTAACCACTACACCAAGCTAGCCAGACCAAACTACTTCATGATGTTTTAACACGCTCCAAAAATGATAACATTTTCTTCTAGCAATTTCAACTAGGCCCTCAAGTTATTTACTATAGTTTTCATTATTTTTCATTTTATCTGTCAAGATACAATCAATTCATGCAATGGGTTTATACCTGTTTAGAATTATGGAATGTATTTTATACTCTCAGCTAAAATTTTATGCGTTTTCAAGATACATAACATAAACTATGTGAGACTATAGTTGCAATCTTGACAACGATACTGAAAATCCATAAGAGTCATTAAAGTTTATAAAGTTGCAATAGAAATTTCCCATTTGAAAAGAATATTTGTAGCTCAGAGTTGAACTTAATGGTCTCTGAACTTGATTTCTTGCAGACATTTCATTACTAAATTAGGTAACATCATCAGTCTTAGTCCATTCAATGATGCACCAAGGATCCCAGAATTTCCTATTGTGAATTATTTTTCAATCTTTTATTGCTGAGGACAGCTTAGATTTACAACATTGTTATAGTGCTTCATATAATAATCCTGCAACTTTAATTTAAACAAAGAAAATAGTAACTTGAAGAACTAAATCTATTTTGAACTTCATGTTGCCCAGAAAAACTAGTTTTCAAGGGTAGATCATATTTTACCTACTTACCTTATTTTTTAATTGGAAGCAGCAACATTAGGGCTTTGTAAACCCTCAAATCTGATTCTGAAGCACCATGTCCACTTAAAAGTCTGATACGAGCTCTTTAAGAGCTTGTTGTCTAAACATACATGTTCATGCAGAAAATATTTCTGTATACATGTATACTCAGAAAATGTGGAGATGTCCTCAAAGTAGCCAGGGGAGCCCTTGAAAAGTTGTGGTGCTTTGACAGTTCAAACAATGATTCAAAGGGATGCATTCAATTAGTCTTGCATTAGGTATGCAAATGGTTTTACACAGCATTAGTATTTACTATTAGTTAATTTTAAGGATTAAGGATTACAAAATGAATTGTAACCAAAGTACAGAATATTCCTATGATCTACACACAAAAGGACCCCATTTTTGGCTAACAAAAGATTTTAGATTCAGCCAATACTATAAATTAGCTAAATTAAACTTGATTTAAGCCATTGCCTATTTGACTGTGTCATGTTGCTCTGATTTACCAAACTAAAGATGTCTATAGCTCAATTTCTTTGTGTTAACTATA